ATGAGTCTAGTATTACTTACATGAAAACACAACAAAGATACTAAGATTTATGGGGTGCCTGGGTAGCTCAGTTGGTTATACATCCATCTTCAGCTCAGGTCATGATCTCATGGTTCATGGGTTCGAGCCCCACATTGGGCTCTGTGCTGACAGCTCAGAGCCTGGAGCCTGCTTTGGATTCTGTGTCTCCCTCTCTCTCTGCCCCTCCCCTGCTCATGCTTTGTCTCTCTCTCTCTCTTTCTCTCAAAAATAAACATTAAAAAAAAATTAAAGATTTATATCTCTCATAAATTTATATTCAAAAGCTCTCAAAAACATAGTAGCAAATCAAATCTAGTAATATATATAAACAAATATACATCACATCAAAGTGAAGTTTATGACAGTAATGACAGACTCATTCAAAATTTGAAAATAAATTAATCCACTATACTTAGCTTAAAAGAAAAACGACATGACATCACATCAATGCAAAAAAATCATTTGACAAAATTCAATGCCATTTTATAATTAAAAAGAAAAACCTCAGCAAGCTAGGAATAGAGAATGTCACCAACCTGATAAAGATATCTATTGAAAAAATATAATTAACATTATACTTAATCATGAAAGACTGAATGCTTCCTCATAAAATTAGGACAAAGGCCAAGATGTCCACTTTCATCACTCTTATTCAACATAGTACTGGAAGGCTAGCCAGCACAACAAGGTAAGAAAAAAATAAATAAACGGTATATAAATAAGAAAAGGAAAATATTAATGAATGCATAATTACATATGACATAATTGTCTATAAATGTACAAAATCTCAAGGGACACACACACACACACACACATATGCACACACACACACACACACACACACACACTTCCTAGAATAAATCAATTGAAGTTGCAGGTTAGGAGATCAACACAAAAAATTATATAATATATGCAGTACACACACAATTTCAATATGAAATGTGAAAATACAAAATTGTAGGAGGAAATATGGGAAATATTCTAACTAGAGTTATGCAAAAAGTTCTTAGTCATGACAACAAAATCATGATCAATAAGACAAAACTGAGAAGTTGAACATCAAAATAAAACATTTACTCTGTGAAAGGCAATGGCAAGAGAATGAAAATATAAGCCACAGACTGAGAGAAAACATTTGCAAACCATTTATACAATTTTCATTTTACATGAAAATACATGAATTTATAAAATTTTCATTTTACATGAAAATACATGCAAAAATCCTCAACAAAACATTAGCAAAGTGAATTCAACAATACATTAAAAAGATTATACACCATGATTAAGTAGGATTTACTCCAGGGAGGCAAGGATGGTTCAACATCCACAAATCAATGTGATAAACCACATTAACAAAATTAAGGATAAATATCATATGATAATCTCAACAGATGTAGATAACTCATGTGACAAAACACAACATCCATTTTTTTTTTTTATTAATTTTTTTTTTTAACGTTTATTTATTTTTTTGGGACAGAGAGAGACAGAGCATGAACGGGGGAGGGTCAGAGAGAGAGGGAGACACAGAATCAGAAACAGGCTCCAGGCTCTGAGCCATCAGCCCAGAGCCCGACGCGGGGCTCGAACTCACGGACCGCGAGATCGTGACCTGGCTGAAGTCGGCCACTTAACCGACTGCGCCACCCAGGCGCCCCCACAACATCCATTTATGATAGAAACTCTCAACCAAGTGGGTATAGAGCAAATATACCACAAGATAAAAATGGCCATATATGTCAGTCTCACAGCTAACATAATACTCAATAGTGAAAAGCTGAAAATTTTCCCTCTAAAATAAGAACAAGAAAAGGATGCCATCTCTCACCACTTGTATTCAACTAACTGTTGAAGTCCTAGCCACAGCAATTAGACAAGACAGAGAAACAAAGCATTCAAACTAGAAGTAAAAATGTCACTATTTGCAAATGACATACTATATGTAGAAAAATCTAAAAGTGCCAACAACAAAAATCCTTAAAACTATTTCAAAAAATTCAAGTGAGTCAATTTTAAAGATCTAATTGGCTTTATTCACTGATTCATGAATCAGACAGCATCCCACATACCAGACAAAAAAAGCTCTGAGGAACTGTACAAAATGAGACTTTTATAGGCAGAAAGGATCAGGACAAGTAAGTTATACCAACAAAAGCAGATTGGTTTTGATGACTTTCCTTTAGGGGACAGGGAGGGTCTATCACTTTCCTTTAGAGGACTGCAAGGGTCTCTCAGCCAAATTACCTCACTAGTGCTGACCTGGGAATTCTAAATTAACTGGTTTAAGATCCCTTTCCTGGGAGATGCTGAAACTGTAAGTAAGTTAGGTATTAAGTGTTGGTTTGGTGACATGGGACTTAGCACAAATATCTCCATTTTGGGTCTGTTGTCTCTTCTTTAACAGAACTAATATTAAAATTCAGTAAAGTTACAGTACATAAAATCAATACATAAAACTAATAACAAAGTACCAGAAAAATTAAGAAAATAATTCCATATACAATTGCATCAAAAAGAATTTAAAAACCTAGGAATCAATTTAATGAAGAAGGTGAAAGTCATGTACATTGAAAACTATAAGACATTAATGAAAGAAATTAAAGACACAAATAAATAGAAAGATATTCTGTGCTCATGAATTGGAAGAATCAGTATTGTTAAAATGTCAATACCAAAACAATCTATAGATTTATTATAAACCCTATAAAAACTCCAATGCCACATTTTACAAAATTAGAATGATCTTAAATTTGTATGAAAACAAAAGAGGTCCCAAAAGCCAAAGCAATTTTGAGAAAGAGGAACAAAGCTGGAGGTATCACACTTCCAGATTTCAAACTATATTACAAAGCTAAGGTAATGAAAGCAGTATAGTGTTGGCATAAAAACTGATGTATAGATCTATGGGAAAGAATAGAGAACACAGAAATAAACCCATGTATATGTGGTCAATTAATTTACAACAACAGAGACAAGAATATACAATGAGAGTGTACAGCAGAGTCTTTCATCTAAATGGTGTTAGAAAAACTGGACAGTCACATACAAAAGAATGAAATTGAACCACTATCTTAGGCCATACACAAAAATTAATTCAAAATGGATTAAAGACTTGAAACCATATAACCCCTAAAACAAACAAACAAAACAACAACAAAAACTCCATAAACAATAAGCTCCCTGGGAATGATTTTTTAAATCTGACACCAAAAGCAAAAGCAACAAAAGTAAAAATAAATAAATGGAACTACATTAAACTAAAAACGCTTTGCACAGCAAAGAAAATAATCAACAAAATGAAAAGACACCTGCTGAATGGGAGAAAATATTTGCAAATCATATATCTAGTATGGGACTAATATCTAAAATATGTAAAGATCACACACAGTTCATTAAAAAAAAAAAAACCCAAATAATCCAATTTAAAAATGGGTAGAAGATCTGAAAAGACATTTTTTCCAAGGTAGACTTACAGAGGGCCAATAGATACATGAAAAGATGTTCAACACCATTAATCATCAGAGAAATGCAAATCAAAACCACGAGATACTTCTTCACACCTGTTAGAATGGCATTATCAAAAAGATAAAAAATAACAAGTGGTGGCAAGGAAGTGGTAAAAGGGAACCTTTGATGCACTGCTGGCAGGAATGTAAATTGATGCAGCCATTTTGGAAGTTCCTCAAAAAAATTAAAAATAGAACTACTGTATGATCCAGCAATTCCATTCTTGTATATTTATCCAAAGAAAACAAAGCAATAACTCAAAAAGGTATATGAACCCCATGTTCACTGCAGCATTATTTAAAATAGCCAAAATACAGAAACAACCTTAGTGTCCATCCATGGATGAATAAAGAAACTATGAAAACAAACAAACAAAAAAAACTATGGTATGTATATAGATACACAGATGCAGACAGACACACAATGGAATTTTATTCATACATAAAACAAGCTTGCTATTTACAAAACTATGGATGGACCCAGAGGCATTATGCTAAGTGAAAAACCTCAGAGGAAAACAAGTATAGTCTCTTACATATGGAATCTCAAACAAAGTTTTTTTAAACCCAAGCTTATGGATACAGAGAATAGATTGGTGGTTGCCTGAGGCTGCGGTTGGGGGATAGGAAAAATGAGTGAAGGGGGTCATAAGGTAAAAATAAATTATAAATTAATTGCATAGTGTTGTGTAGTGTCTAATAATACTGTACTGTATATTTGAAAGTTGCTGTGAGTAGACCTTGAAAGTTCACATCATGAAAATAATTGTAACTATGTGGTGATGTTAACTAGACTTAATGTGATTTCAAAATATATACATTTAATTATATCGTACACATGAAACTAATTACATGTTATATGTCAATTATATCTCAATAAAGTGATAAAAATTTTTAAATGGAAAAAAAACCCACATAGTGTAATAACTTGAAATCTAAAGCATGTAGCCTGTTAGAATTGTGTCAATGTCATTTTCCTGGTTTTCATACTGTGCCATAATTATGTACAATGTTGCCATTTAAGGAATCTGGATGAAGTATACAAGGTCCTTTCTGTACTTTTGCCTGTGAATCTACAATTATTTGAAAATAAAGGCTTTAAGTTAAAAAAAAAAAAAGCTAATGGGCCCTATTAATGGATTTCACAGTCAATTCAAAGAATTGCCCCAATAATCCATCAGTAAAAACTCTAAGGCTCTGCATGTGTAGGTTTTTATTTGAAGAGGCATGAGGGGAGGGCGGAAATGTTGGAGAGGAATCAACCGGACAATTTTCTCACCGTTCCTCTCTTTAGTTTATATAACATATAGACACGTGTGGGTCAAAGTAACAAGATTTAGAATTTTTAGGTCAAGGAGCAGTATGAAATCTCCTACCTCTTTAGCTCATAAGTGAACTCATTTTAACGGATTATACATGCTCAGCCTCCCGGGGGCTTTCACAGACTCGCAGCCCCTCCAGTTGGCACAGCCCTTAGTTCCGGCCTATCCTCGGGGGCCTTAGATTGAAGTGCTCCTCGCGCTGTGCTCGCGGTTCGTGCTGACGAGTGTCACGCCCCCGGCCGTCCCCAACTCGCGCCAACCGCTGTGCTGGGACGGAGACCCGGAGGGCCAAACGAAGGCCAGGGCGCCGCTGGCCCACGGAGACGCCTCCTGGGCTCCTGGCCTGAGCGGGGCTGCGGAGCCTGGGAGGAAGCGGTGCTCCTTCACTCCATAAATCGTACCCCTAAGGAGAAAAAGGTCACGTGTGGACAGTCGTGGCGCAGGGCCCGCCGCCGGGGTATTCACCGGGCATAGTTCTCAGAGGCCGGGCCGTGCTGTCCCCTTGACACCTTGGCCGCTGCGCACCGCGTTCGTGTGGGAGGCGGGGCCCATAGCAGAGTCTCTCCCTAGTATCCCTGAGTTTCTGACTGCAACCCTTCTTCACGGGCTGGGCCCAGCGGACTTCCGGAGTTGGACGTCGAACGCCAGTACCCCTGGCGCAGAGAACCAGGGGGCGCGGCTTGTTTGCGGTCCGGCCTGGTCTGACCAGACCAGCAGGCGGCTCCACACGCACCCCGTTAAACGCAGGCCCGCGGCCACTGCGGCTACGCTTACAAGAGCCCCCCCCCCCCCCCCCCCCCCGCACCCCGCAGCTCCTGCTGTCCGCGACCCCTACTTGATAAGCACCCCTACCGCACTCCCCCGGGCCTGAGCCCTTCGGTGGGGGTCATAGCCTGACCCAAAGGCAGAGAGAACTTGAGTCCCTCCTGTGCCAACGCGCTCACTGCACACGAGCCAGTGTCCTTCAGGGCCACCTCCTTCCTGGGGTCTGTAGAGAGTAACAACACCGTCCATTGAGGGTGTGCAAGGGAGGCCTGCCCACATCTCCCGACTTTGGGAGCCACGGAGGAGAGGACTAGTACCTGGAGTCCTTCCCTTCGTCTTCAAGAACCACAGTGGCTGCCATCCTGACTCCTACTTGGCAGAGCTCTGGGGGTGGAGGGGTGTATCTTGGGAAAAGAGAAATTTCTTGAGTGCAACTGATCTGAAAAATCCAACCACATTTTCTGAGCCAATGCCAAGATCCTGACTCCCTGTTTCCGATTCAGCTGGTGCCTAAACCTAAATCCCAAGAGCACTGTTTGCATTTTCTAGGATTATTCATTGCCCTTTTTTCCGTTTGAGCATTTAAAATTCCTGTAATTCGTGGAGCACTTAAGACCTCATAGAAGTAACTGAATGTTTACTTAACACTGGGGTCTAAGCCCCTTCTAATTTTGTGCAGCTTAACTCCTGGCAGGGGGCTGCCTGCACTATTTCAACATAAATCTAGAAGCAGGCAGTGGAAAGCTCCATGTTTTACCGTCATTGCATGTTCTGGGACAATTCCTCTAGACCAGCCCTGAACCCCGGAACTACTGCTATATTGGTGTAGTGGCAGACTGTCCTGTGCAGTGTAAGAGGTTTAGAAGCACCCTAGGCCTTCCTGCACTAGAGTCCAGGCACTTTGAGTTGTGACAACCAAACTCCTTACCACTGATCTTGGGAGGCAAATAGCTGTTTCTAGAACAAGGTCTTCAAGTAGTGAACTCTCAACTTTCAGCCTCTTTTGAATTATATGGCATAGAATTTTGAATCGAGCCCCCATCACTTCAAAAGGTCATTTTATGTTCTGGCCTCCACCATTTCTGCTGTCTGTGGTCACTTATGTGGTTGTCCATACCTGTTTACTACCTTTTTTGGAATCTCTTATGATTTTATCTTTATCAGGGTACTGGTATAGTTTGCTTATTAGACTTATTTGGGTTTGCTGAAATTCTCTTTAATGTGTAAGGTATTTTTCACCAAATTTTGCACATATTCAACCACTATTTCTTCAAATAATTTGCCTGTCACATGAAATATTTTGTAACTCTCCTTTTCACTCAGTTACATGTTGGATCAGTTGATATTTTCCAAAGATAACTAAGGCCTTGTTTAAATGTTTTAAAACAATTTTCTTTCAAATTTTCAATTCATAACTGCTGATATACATCTATAATCTGCACTATATTATTAAACTCACCCCTGGCTTAACATTACACATACTTTTTCAGTTCTAGAATTTCCTTTTATTTTTATACTTGCCTTCTCTGCCGAGGCGCCCACCTGCTCCCTCATTTTTCTCCTTTGAACCTTCAAACATATTAGACAAGCAGCTTCAAAATCCATGTCTTGTAATTACAACATCTGGGTCAATTCAGACCTTTTTTAGTAGCACTTATTTCTCTTCTTTTTGGGTCACATCATGCATGTCAGGAAATTACTGACTTAGGCTAAACACTTTACATAAAATGTCATGGAGACTGTAGATGTGGTAACTTCCTAGGGCTACTTTAACAAATTACCACAAACTTTGTGGCCTAAAACAGAAATTTAAAAATCAAGGTGTCAGCATGGCCACACTCAGGATTATAGGATCCTTCCTTTCTTCTTCTAGCTTCTGGTGGATGCCAGTACTCCTCCACTTGCAGACACATCACTGCCTCTCTCTTCCTGTCTTCTGTGTCCTGGCATGTCCTGGTCTGTTTCTCATGAGGATTTAGGATTCAACCTAATCCAATATAATCTCATCTCAAACCTTACCTTAATTACACCCACAGACTCTATTTCCACTAAGGTTCTGAATGGACATCAAATTTGGGGAGACACTATTCAACTCACTCCACTGGATTATGCTGACTTCCAATATATAACATTTGAGTTTTGTTCAGGCCAGCAATTTGACTACCAGTGAACCCAACTGGATCTGTCAGACCTGTTACTTCTGTATCATTATGTCTAGTGTGGTCTAGAACACATTAATTCTATTACGGTCTACAACACTTAATTCTGACTTCAGTTCCTTTCACTAGGGTAGTATCTGAGCACTTTTCTTTTCTGCAAGGAGTCAAATAGTACATATTTAAAATTTTTTTTTTCAACGTTTATTTATTTTTTGGGACAGAGAGAGACAGAGCATGAACGGGGGAGGGGCAGAGAGAGAGAGGGAGACACAGAATCGGAAACAGGCTCCAGGCTCTGAGCCATCAGCCCAGAGCCTGACGCGGGGCTCGAACTCACGGACCGTGAGATCGTGACCTGGCTGAAGTTGGACGCTTAACCGACTGCGCCACCCAGGCGCCCCTCAAATAGTACATATTTTAGATGTTGTGAAGAGCCAAAGTGAAGGCTATTACACAGATCCTTAGTGAGAAAAAATTTAGCCAAAATTGATAGTCATGAAATTCTAAGTTTAAAAATAAGTACAACTTTATGCAATACAGGTCTACGAATGAGAATTAAGTTCTAAGATTAGAGTTCAAAGTTACTGTTATATCAAAATTGCAAATGTTCACTTAATGCCGATCTGTAATGAGATTTTATATATTTCATCTTTAAAACAGTCTGTCCACACAGATACATACAAACAAATACTGAGTACTGCTTTTGACTGAGCATATTTATTACTAGGAAAAGTATTACAGAATTGTTTGAGATTTCTCTAGATATTTGCCTCTCAAGAGGTTATTTTTTTTTTTAATTTTTTTTTTCAACGTTTATTTATTTTTGGGACAGAGAGAGACAGAGCATGAACGGGGGAGGGGCAGAGAGAGAGGGAGACACAGAATCGGAAACAGGCTCCAGGCTCCGAGCCATCAGCCCAGAGCCTGACGCGGGGCTCGAACTCACGGACCGCGAGATCGTGACCTGGCTGAAGTCGGACGCTTAACCAACTGCGCCACCCAGGCGCCCCTCTCAAGAGGTTATTATATTGCAGAATAATCACTTCCAGTATTAGATAGCAGTTCCTCAAATATACAGAACTGAATAAATTTTTTTAAATGTTTATTAATTTTTGAGAGAGAGAGAGACAGAGCATAAGCAGGAAAGGGGCAGAGAGAGAGGGAGACACAGAATCCAAAGCAGGCTCCAGGCTCTCAGCTGTCAGCACAGAATCTGATGCAGGGCTTGAGCCCACGGACAGTGACACCATGACCAGAGCGAAAGTTGGACACTTAACCCACTGAGCCACCCAGGAGCCCCAAGAACTGAATACATTTTTAAGTAAGGAAATTTTCTTCATACTTGCATTAAAGTAAAAAAAATGCTATTAGAATAGTTTGATTCTGGAAAATGTGGGAATGGAGATCTTATTTGTTGACTACACAGTATATAGTATTTGGATATTATTTATGACTCGTTGTTGAAATGACTACCACAGTACTTCACACAGAAGTATTGTTTTACCTTCTAACTTAAATCCAGAGAAATCAAGTCTGTGGCAAAAGCTAATTTGCAAAAATATGCACAGTCTATTAACAGTGCTAAGGGCCATTTTTCTTGTTCAGAAAAATTTTAATCATGGATATGAGCTCAAAAAAAATTCACAATATTTACTGCTACTAAATCATTGGCAATCTGTGGTGGTAGTTCAAGTCAAAATATTCAGCTTCTAGTTCTGAAAAAAATTCATGGATCTCATTAAGTCCATGAGAGTAAGTGAAGTTTTACTGTTCACACAATTCATTAACTTGACATATTAAAATACTTTTGGCAATGTACCTTTTGATGAATAGAAATGAATAAGGTTTCTGGGGCACCCGGGTGACTCAGTTAAGCATCTGACTGGATTTCAGCTCAGGTCATGATCTCATGGTACATGGGATAGAGCACCACATCACGCTCTGCACTGGTAATACAGAACCTGCTTGGGATTCTCTCTCCCTCTGCCCTTCCCCCTCTCTCTCAAAAATAAATAAACTTAAAAAAAAAAAAAAAAAAAGAGGTGAGGCACCTGAGTGGTTCAGTCTGACTTCAGTTCAGGTTATGACCTCATGGTTTGTTGAATCCAAGCCCCCATGTCTCCCTCTCTGTCTGCCCCTCCCGGGCTTGCACTCTGTCTCTCAAAACCAAATAAACATAATTTTTTTTTTTAAAGGAAATGAATACAGTTTCTAAACTTCCCCAACTACACCTTTTCCTGCTCTTCACATATTTTTACCACCATCAGTTGTTACTCATCCTGGCAGATTCCAGTTCAGGTTGAGTGTTTTCACAACTTGTTTTAAAATATTTTCAACTGTTTTTGTTCTACACAGACTGTTCATAGAGGTTAATTCTTCAGAGTTAAAGCGATACCTTGAATAAACAGCAACAGAGCAGTACTGGTAATCAACTGTTGGTTCACCAACAGCCAAGGAAAGGCACCTAAAATATCTGATGTTTCTTTACTGTTAATGTTGCTCCCACTGTCCTCAACTCTTAAGGCATGTATCATCACCAAAAGAGAATCTTAAGAATCTTAAGTTTTTCTCTGGATTTGCAAATTCAACTGCTGCAATCACATACAATCTAATTAATTCATCATTACTGAAGTTTCCCTTTCCTGGCTAATAACCAAGCTATTAAAAACTTGGTTTAACAGCAACCACTTTTTCTTCTTTACCATGAGAATTAGGCAATGAAATGCTCTGTTTAAAATCTTCTAACTTTCATGACAATTGCTTACCTGTGAGATGGGAGTATTCTGATGAGGGCTTTGTATAATGCCTATGCCTATGTACTACGTATGCACATAGTACACTTTGAACACATCTAGAATGTCACCACTTTCATTTCTAAAAGCACTGACAACCAGTTCAACAAAACCTACATCCCACTGTACTTTAAAAGTCAATTTTTCATCTTTTATTTTGACATATTCACCAGTAACTTTTTAAAATTTTGCAATATGGCACTTAAAGTGAAACACAAAATGCTGCCAGGTTATAACCGCAATGCTGGGATTTCTAATACTTCGAGCAGCAATGTGAAGCAACCCAAGTGCCACAATGAAAGTCTCTAGGTTGCAACTATTAAACTGCTGTTGTAGTGTGAAAGAAAGTAGCCAGACAAGCAAATTAAGATGTTTTTCAATAAAACTTTAAAATAAAAAAACAATTTTTAACATCATTTCACCTGTAAAAAAATCCATTTAATTTTTTTTGCATTATGTAATAATATAAAGCCATTCTTAGCCTGTAAGTTGTACAAAACAGGCAATCGAACCAGATTTGACCCATAGACCTGTTTGTTGAGGCTGTTCTAGGATATAGTCCAACTCCTCAGACATGATTTTCACTGAATGCTCAAGGTGATCCTCAACAATGTATGGCCCCAAATGCCTACATCTCTCAGTACTACACATCTGATACCATTGTTTAGCTCTCAACCAAAAGATAGTATCTGCTAAACCTCATGGAACTTTAGCCTGCATATATTCACATCAACCCTAGGCCAAGGATCCACGTTTATTTGCAAACAGATCCTTGGCATCATTGCCTGCATCCTTAACACACACTGACACACAGAGAACAGGTCTTCAATGGTTGTTTTGAGCTTTCTAAAGCATGTTGGTGCTAACCACATATAAGTAGTTTCACATATATATTTGCAATTCACCTACTTACCTTATACTGAAGATGTACTCACCGTGGCCTCCCATTCAAGATTCTAGCAGAGGAGCCTAAGCCTGAAAAAGAAGCAGCTGCCATCTACCTTGGCAACACACCCCAGATTCCTTCCTTCTAGGTGGGTTATATAGCTGGGTTGCCTGGTGTCCTGGTTACCTACAGTCAATTTAGCAGGCAGGAAATTCGTAGTAATTCAACCAGACACACATGGAAATGGTGACCTGGGTGAGCACTGAAAAGCTGAGAATGCTCTTCAAGCATATCATTGCATTCAACAGTGCAAAAACCTGTAAATAGGTTTATGTGCCTACAGTACTAAGAAAATGATATAAAAGCAGATAAACAAAATTTAATCTCACCAGGATCCCCAGGTGAATGTACCATTTGTTGGAACAATTTATAGAGACAGGGAAAAAAAAAAAAAAAAGAGATCCATATGGGGGCACATGGGTGGCTCAGTCAGTTAAGTGTCTGACTTTGGCTCAGGTCATGATCTCATGATCTGTGGGTTGGAGTCCTGCATCAGGCTCTCCGCTGACAGTTCAGAGACTGGAGCCTGCTTCCAATTCTGTATCTCCCTCTCTCTCTCTGCACCTCCCCTGCTCATGCTCTAAAAAATAAACACTTTAAAAAAAAAACTTAAAAAAAGATCTATATGGTATGAAGAATCATTAATGCTTAGGGCTGATAACATTCTCTAGTGCATGAAGTGGTGTTGGGGAGCATCCTCTGGACATGTGCTCACAAAAAGGAAAAGCAGGAAAGACCTGACCTCATATCATTAGGACTGTGTTTCTGGGTTTGTCAGGAACAAAACTAAGCCAACTGGTTGACTTGGTTATGTCTAGTGGGTACCTGACATGAAATTAAATGCTATTCCAATCAGAATTCTAAAATCTGTTTAAAGTTGGCTTAAAATTCTAAGTATTTTAGAAAACCTTAATATTTGGGTGGATAAAATGAATAAAGGACTTGGCCTGTATATAATGTAAACTATTACAAAGACAGCTTAAACATTATCATGATCAGAAGGAGTAAAAGAGTGGTTTGAAAAAGCAAAATGACATTAGAAACATATCAAAGGACACAAGAGCTAATTTGAATGAAATTCTGCTGGCCTTATCTCAGATAATTTGAGCATAAAATAAATAAATATGTCAGTAACAAGAGTTAAAGATTATAATTTACCAAATGAAGAATCTGAGTATACAGACATAAATAAAAAATTGTAAAAAAACAAAAATTTCCATACCATGATATGCAGAGGAATAATGGTGAAAAAATTTCATGTTTTTGCAACTATAGTAATAATTGATTTGGGCAACATCAGAAATAAATGCTTAAATTAATGAGTGAAACTAAGAGGATATTTGTATAGCCTGAATGTATCATCTCACAAGATATTAAAGGATAAAATGAGTTTTGTGGAAACAAGGAAGATACTACATTAACCATATTATCCAATGAGTATGAATGGGACTAATCAGCAGCATGTGATTCCTGGTACAAAGTACTGAGATATCCTGAACACTTCTAGTACTACAAAAGGTATATAATATAATCAAAAAGAAACAGGAAACAAATCCTATTATTTACTTGGCAATAATCAAAAGAGTTGTGGTTAATAGCTAATGGTCATTCAGGATATTGCCAGTTCCTCCCATATGGCTTTTCTGATACATACCAACTTGCACTTTTCAAACGGTCATATTCATAGCCCGTGTTAGCTGAGATGTCTAGCATATGTGAGTTACAAACAGCACAGAGGTTTTTTTCTTCCTTACAAAAGTCAGACTGTTAGCAAAGGCAATTTTTCTTAAAATTTTTTTAACATTTATTCCTTTTTGAAGACAAAGACAGAGCAAGAGCATGGGGTGGGGGTGGGGGGGCGGGGATGGGAAACACAGAATCTGAAGCATGCTCCAGGCCCTGAGTTGTCAGCACAGAGTCCTATGTGGGGCTCAAACTCACCAACCATGAGATCATGACCTGAGCCAAAGTTGGACGCTTAACTGACTGAGCCACCCACGCGCCCCTCTGCACAGCAATTCTTGAGCCCACTTCCTTCCACATGGTAGCACTCTTCCATCTTCAGTGTAGAGACAGGAGACCACACAGAATATAAAGGATGAAGATGTCTTTCATGGGATTTTGTGGGGAATAAGCTTAGGAATTCCCTGAGCTTGCACCAATGGGTTAACAAGGCATAAAGAAATAGCCACAAGATGAACACATCCAAGATAAGGTAAACAAGATTAGGTCAACAGGGCAAAGGCCCCCAAGATAGGACATAGAAAGGTATGGAAACAGCAAATCTCAGAATGAAAACATCCACAGTGTTTAGGTAATCTTAGGTAAACAAGCTTAAGTATTCAGGGCAGAAGCACCCCCAACTTAGTACAATAGCAGAAAGCGGTTTTCACAGGAAGAAAGGACCAAAATAGGTAAACAGGGCTATAGACCATAGCAGGGCGAAGGTGCCCAGAGAGGAGCTAATTAACAACAACAACAAAAAAGGTATCTTATTGACCCTGAGGTAGCATACCTTATCTGTCTTATCCCCTAAGCTAGCTAAGATAAACAGATGTGGCGCCTCATTCCTGCTGTGAACAACCATCTGTCCGGCACCAGGACTTTGTTTTGTGTTGACCCAAACCCCTAACACTGCATATCTTCAATACCCTCTTTTCCCTCGTGTCCTTGAGTTAATCCACGGTTTCATTGTTTCTCTGTGCACACTTATAAGCCTTCTGACCCTCATAAAAATACAGCAAAAGGCCCTTACTTGGGGTTGTCTCCTCCCGGACATTAGCCTCTCTCACATTTTAATCCTGTGTCCACTCTCTTGCTGGACAAGAGAGAACTCCAGACCCAGAGTCTACGACAGGATTTAACACCAGCATCCACATTCTACTACATAGAATTTATTGTAGATTGATTTCCCAAATCCATTACCTTCATAAGATTTTTCATCTGGGTAATATACTATTAGGTCTCTACCACTCAATGCATTTTGTTGTCCAGAGAAAGGTGGCTTTTGGCTGAAGTTATCACACATTTATTACCTTCTAGATTTTCTTCATTCTCTTAGTGAGATTCAATCTTTTGACAAAAAAAAAAACCTTTCACATTATTACTTCCTGCATTTCTCCACAATGGAAGTTTACTGAGAGTTGAATTAACAGTGTTTTCCTACATTCATTACCTCCAGTGGCTCTTTCCCCCAGAGAATTTCCTAATGTCCAACAAGGTCTATATACTTGGTGGCTGAAAAACTATATGTACATTTCAAGTCTCCTTCCAGTGTAAGCTGTTGCTCTAGACTGAATGTATGTGTTTTTCCAAATTTCCTATGTTCAAACCTAATCCCCAATGTGCTGGTATTTTGAAGTGGAGGCCCTTGAAAGATGGTAGTACTGAGAGCAAAGTCCTCGTGAACTGCATTTGTGTCCTTTATAAGAGGTCCCAAAGTGCTCCCTTCCTCCTCATGAGGACAAAAGATGGCCATCTGTGAACCAAGAAGTGGATCCTCACCAGACAACAAAATCTACAAGCACCTTGACCTTTGCCTTTCCAGTTTCTAGAACTAACAGAAATAAATGCTTGCTATTTATGCCACCCAGTCTAGGATATTTTTCTGACAGCTGCCTCAACAGATTAAGACAGTTCTCTTATGAATAGTGAGGAACTTCCTGAGGAGCATCCATGTTCATTAGCTTAATAAGTTTTAGCCCCTTTCAGTTCTGCTATCTTTTCTTAGCCCTGACTTGCGGCTGAAAAATCTCCCTGCATACATCATCTTTACACTTTCAACCTCTGAGTTCTCTCTGATGTTCTCAAAAGTATGATTTCTGGCTGGAAGCATTCCAAGACATTTACAGGGCTGTTTATATTGTTTAAATTATCTGATGTAATATAATATTTTGTCTGGATGAAAGTATTTCTAAATTCATTACATTCATATGATCAATTCCATGAGTTTTCTGACCCTGATGGTCAACTGCTGGTGGAAATCTTCCCTACATCCATCACAATTATATGGTTTCTCCCATGTGATGAAGGGGATCAGAATATACCCCCCCAAAACATGCCACTTTGGCATATTATTTTGAACCAAAAGCAACTTAAAAACTGTAAACGCAAAAAATTCTCACCCTCCCCCTATGCACCTAAAGGCAGGGCATAAATTTCCTTTTATGAAGGTGTTCCTATCCTGTCTCCCAAAAGAAAAGAGATAGCACCAATATCTGCATAAACACACCTTACTGAAATAACCTTTGTCTTCCATTCATTTCCCATATATTTACTTTCCCACAATTTACCATCACTAAAAGCTCAAAACCCATTTCCTTTGTCTGGACACTTCTTTGCAAATGTATTGCTCTTTTGTTAAAGTGGTATATAAACTTCCAGGTCTGACCACCTCTTTTGGGTTTTCATTTGATTTCTGTGAGATCCCTCCATGTGTATATGAAATAAACTTTCTTTTCCTGTTAATGTCTTTAAATTTACATAGGCCCAGCCACTGACCCTGAAAGTAAAGCTATTTTTCTTCATCTTAGCTTTTTACATCTGACAACCCACTGAAAATCTTCCCACATTACCACATTTATCAGACTTCTCGCCTTTTGGAGTTTTCTAATGCTTTCATTAAGTTGAGACTCATTTCTGAGAATGAGGTTTCTCATAAGGTTAGAAAGTTAAATTGGAAATGAAAGCTTTCTCACGTTAATTACACTCAGCATTTCTTCCTTGCATGCATTCTCTGATGTGCTATGAGAACCGATTTCCGAACAAAACTCTTCTCACACTCAACACATTTATAGGGTTTCTCCCCTGTGTGAGTTCTCTGATGTATTCTCAAGTAGTGTTTGTAGATGAAAGCTCTCCCACATTCATTACATTCATATGGCTTCTCCTGTGTATGCCTCCTTAAGTGCATTCTGAGGACGGACTTCCAGACGAAAATTTTACCACATTCAATACATTCATTGAGGGGCGCCTGGGTGGCGCAGTCGGTTAAGCGTCCGACTTCAGCCAGGTCACGATCTCGCGGTCCGTGAGTTCGAGCCCCGCGTCAGGCTCTGGGCTGATGGCTCAGAGCCTGGAGCCTGTTTCCGATTCTGTGTCTCCCTCTCTCTCTCTGCCCCTCCTTCGTTCATGCTCTGTCTCTCTCTGTCCCAAAAATAAATAAAAAACGTTGAAAAAAATTAAAAAAAAAATACATTCATTGAGTTTCTCCCCTGTGTGAATTCTCTGATGTCCTCTGAGGCGTGACACGCAGGTGTAAGCTTTTCCACATTCATTACATTCATAGGGTTTTTCCCCTGTGACTTCTTTGATGTATTATAAGGCTTGACTTCTGGGTGAAAGTCTTCCCACAGTCATTACATTCATGAGGTTTTTCACCTGTGTGAGTTCTCTGATGTAGTTCAAGGCTTGACTTCCAGGTATAACCTTTCCCACACTCATTACATTCATAGGGCTTCTCCTGTGTATGCCTCCTCTGATGTGTTCTCAGCAATGACTTCCAGAGGAATGTTTTCCCACATTCTATACATTTATAGGGTTGCTTCGTTGTGTGGATTTTCTGATGTCCTCGGAGGCTTGACTTCTGGGTGTAAGCTTTCCCACACTCATTACATTTATAGGGTTTCTCCCCAGTGTGAATTCTCTGATGTATTCTAAAGTGGTATTTGTACGTGAAAGCTCTCCCACATTCATTACATTCATATGGCTTCTCCTGTGTATGCCTCCTCCAGTGCATTCTCAGGATTGACTTCCAGATGAAAGTTTTACCACATTCAATACACTCATAAAGTTTCTCCCCTGTGTGAATTCTCTGATGTCCTCTGAGGCGTGACATGCAAGTGTAAGCTTTTCCACATTCATTACATTCATAGGGTTTCTCCCCTGTGTGAGTTCTCTGATGTATTATAAGGCTTGACTTCTGGGTGAAAGTCTTCCCACAGTGATTACATTCATGGGGCTTCTCCCCTGTGTGAGTTCTCTGATGTAGTTCAAGGTTTGACTTCCAGGTATAAGCTTTCCGACATACATTACATTCATAGGGTTTCTCTCCTGTGTGAATTCTCTGATGTATTCTCAGGAATGACTTCCAGAGGAAGGTTTTCCCACATTCTATACATTCATAAGGTTTCTCTCCTGTGTGGATTTTCTGATGTCCTCGGAGGCGTGACATGCAGGTGAAAGCTTTCCCACATTCATTACATTTGTGGAGTCTGTCTGCTGTGTGAGTTCTCTGATGTAGTTCAAGACTTGACTTCCAGGTGTAAGCTTTCCCACACTCATTACATTTATAGGGTTTTTCCCCTGTGTGACTTTTCCGATGTATTACAAGGCTTGACTTCTGGGTGAAAGCTTTCTGACATTCATTACATTCATAGAGCTTCTCCCCTGTGTGAGTTCTCTGATGTAGTTCAAGGCTAGACTTCCAGCTGTAAGCTTTCCCACATTCATTACATTCATAGGGTTTCTCCCCTGTGTGAGTTCTCTGATGTATTGCAAGGCTTGACCTCCGGGTGAAAGCCTTCCCACACTCATTACATTCATGGGGTTTCTGCCCTGTGTGCTTTTTCTGATGTGCTCTGAGTTGTGACATGTAGGTAAAAGCTCTCCCACATTCATTACATGCATAAGGTTTCTCCCCTGTGTGAATTCTCCAATGTATCTTCAGGATTTTCTCCCAGAGGAAAGTTTTCCCACATTCTATACACCGATAGGGCTTCCTCCCTGTATGAGTTCTCTCATGTCTTCTAAGGTGCGACATGCAGGTGAAAGTTTTCCCACATTCATTATATTCATATAGATTTTCCCCTGTGTGAGTTCTCTGATGCATTCCTAGGCTTGCCTTATGGCTGAAAGTTTTACCCAATTTAATACATCCACAGGATTTCTCCACTGCATGAATTCTCTGATGTCCTCTGAAGTGTTGTTGGTAGGCCAAAGACTTCCCACATTCATTACATTCATAGAGTTTCTCTCCTGTGTGAGTTCTCTGATGTATTCCAAGGCTTGACTTCTGGGTGAAAGTTTTCCCACATTCATTACATTCATAGGGTTTCTCCCCTGTGTGAATCGTCTGATGCACTATGAGGCATGCCATATAGGTAAAAGCTTTCCTGCATCCTTTACATTCATAGGGTTTCCCTGCTCTGTGTTTTCTCTGATGCCCTACTAGGGATGATTTCCTGGAAAAAGCTGTCCCACATTCATTACATTCATAGGGCTTCTCACTTGTGTGAGTTCTTTGATGTACAATGAGGGATGAACTTCTAGAGAAAGATTCTTGACATTCATTGCTCTCATACTGTTTTTGTTTCCTGGGAATTCTCTGATGTAGACTGAAAGCCGACTGAGAACTGAAAGTTTCCCTATAAGGGTCATTATCACAAGATGTCTCTATTGTGGAAATCCTCTCTTGCACTGTAATTGCTAAATTGTGGTTTAATTTTTTTCCACATTCAAAGGATTTCACTCCTGTGTGAGTTCTCTGATATTCTCTGAAATGTGCTTTTTGACCTAAAGTTTTCTCTCCTGTTTCAGTTCTCTGAAGTGGAGTAACCTTACTGAAATTGTTCCCGGTTTTAATACATGCATCTTCATCAAATTCAGAATGACTCTTCTCTATGTGAATATTTGGAGAGACAATGTTTGATTTATCACATAAGTTTTTTCCAAATTTATAAGATCCCTCTTGTATGTAGGCACTCTTAACATTTAATAGAAGTTGCCTTATCATGGAAAGCATTATCGTGTTCATTATGTTCAAAAGACTGCCCCAAAATCTGAAAAGTCTGATCCTGAATAAGTTCCTCCACATGACTAAACACTTGCAAATCTTTATTGTAATCAAAATATTTCTCTCCACTATTCGTTCTCTCATTGCTAGTATTGAAAGAAGATGCATTAAACTCATAAGCCTCTTTGGTTGAGTAACTATATGGGGTCAAAAGATAGAGATCCAAGCATGTAGGAACATCAGTGTCACATTTAGAGAGCATTTTTCTTGAAGGAAAAATGTCTATGCCCCGATGAACTGGTTTTCCTGAAATTTTATCTTGCTCTGTAGTTAATGTTTTCTTGTTGTTGAATAAGACTTGACAGAAATATTTGTGTTGGCTTTCCTGGCTCTTCTCTAAAAGACCAAGTTGGCAGTCTTCTAAAAATGAGAAAGTTAAAAATTCCTTATGAAACTTAAAATTTTTATATAAAAAGGACTTATATACAAATGCCCTATTAAGTTTTTGACATTTTTGTTTCCGGCTAAGTCTCCCAACAACACAGTATACAATACAGTACATATTAATTATATTCACTTTCCTTCAGGGAGAGATTTCAGGGAGAGATTCCACTGTAGTGGAAAAGGAGTGGGGAGAGAATATGGAAGTGAATATCATAAGGATTTGGCATTTAGATTATATAACTTACAAACTTGGGAAGAGAAGTGGGTATAAACAAAAGGAATGATGAATTGGGAATGTAAGGGTTTTAAGAGAGTTGGTTACTAGCAACAGGAAAATCAAGAGGAGAATGAATTCAAATTGAGAATTTAAAAAATCATGCCCAAGGGTTTCATAAGGGTTCCAGCAGAGAGAGGGTATGAATTAAGGACACCATCAGAATCTATTTCTTATACTATCAAATATATAGATTAAAATGGAGGGATACTCATTATGCAACATGCTTCCATTTGGAGGAACCCTATTTCCATTCCACATATAAACACCAAGAATTCATGGCACAAATTTCTCCTCTCCTTATTCTCAAAACCATAAATGCCCAATATAAAGTGTAAAAGAGACTGGAGGAAGACATGTTTTCACCTGGATTAGACTCAACGTTCTGGTATTTTGGTTTGTATTAGTTCGTTCAAAAGTAAACCTTTATTGACACCAAATCCAAAGTTTCACCTTTTCACGTGCACACTCATGTTCTTGAAACTAGTTTTAACCTTGTCCCATATTTAACTCAGCTTTCTATGTACTTTTCAACATATCTGGTCTATCAACTGTGAGAACCTTAAGAATCACATTTCAACCTGCTCCCTTAAATTATGGAAATATCTCTTATATTTACCTATCATTAAAAAATACTGTATATATTTGACTATAACCATCCTGCTACCCATACTCTATGTAATGTCAGGCCTCTGCTAAACCTAAGATGGTCCAGAGCCCACTACCTGGGGATGGTGAGGGGGGTGGGAGGGTGAGGAGAATGAAAGAGTTAAGAGGTATCTTTCTAGAAAACAAAATTTTACACTACCTGCATATACTTAAGAAGTTGAAACTATCACTCTACAATTCTATAAGACCACAATATTTTCAGCAATGTCTGGTCAGGCTATCTTCCCCCATTTAGGGAGGGAAACTCAAAAAACAATCTTACACTTACCTTCTTTCCTAATTTACACCACATTTCTGACTTTGCATGAGTCTTAATCTAGATATCCTTCAAGGAAAAATATAAAATATATTTGTATACTCAAATCTAAAAATTACCTAGGTTGGGAATGCAAGCTGGTGCAGCCACTCTGGAAAACAGTATGGAGGTTCCTCAAAAAATTAAAAACAGAACTACCCCACGACTCAGCAATTGCACTACTAGGCATTTATCCATGGGATACAGGTGTGCCATTTCAAAGGGACACATGCACCTCCATGTTTATAACAGCACTATTAACAATAGCCAAAGTATGGAAAGAGCCCAAATGTCCCTCAATGGATGAATGGATAAAGAAGAGGTGGTATAGATATACAATGGAGTATTACTCGGCAGTCAAAAAGAATGAAATCTTGCCATTTGCAACTACATCGATGGAACTGGAGGGTATTATGCTAAGTGAAATTAGTCAGAGAAAGACAAAAATCATATGAGGACTTTAAGATACAAAACATATGACCATAAGGGAAGGGGAACAAAAATAATATAAAAACAGGGAGGGGGACAAAACAGAAGAGACTCATAAATATGGAGAACAAACTGAGGGTTACTGGAGGGGATGTGGGCGGGGTGGGCGAAAAGGGTAAGGGGCACTAAGGAATCTACTCCTGAAATCATTGTTGCACTATATGCTAACTAATTTGGATGTAAATTTTAAAAAATAAAAAAGAAAATTAAAAAAAAAGAGAAAAAAAATTACTTAGGTACAAACCTAAAATACCACATGCAGGATCTGTGTACTGAAAGTCACAAAACACTAATGAAAGAAATCTACATAAAGATCTAACCTTAAATCTAGAAAGATCTAAATAAATGGAGAAACAAGCTTTGTTGTGGACTATAAGAGTCAATCTACTGAAGAAAATTTCCCCCAAATTGTTCTATACATTTAATGCACATCCTACCAAAATTCCAGCAAGATTCTTTTTATATATATATATAGATAATCTTGTTCTAAACTATATATAAAAAGGCAAAGAAACCATAATAGCTGAAAAAATTTTGTCAAAGAAGAATAAAGTCTATGATATGTTAGGCCTTATTAAGTAGCTACAGTAATCAAGAGTGTGGTACTGACAAGGAAATATAAACATAGATCAATGAAAACAGAAAAGAAAACCAAAAATCTGACCAACACAGTCCATGGATTTTTGACTAAGGTATAAAAGCAATTCAATGAAAGGACAGTTTTTTTTCAACAAATGGTAAACAACCAGACATCCATAGGCAAAAATATTAATATGGGTTTAAATGTAAAGCATAAAACTATAAAACTTTTGAGAGGAAAAAAAAAAAAGAAAAAGTTTGAGACCCAGGGCTAGGCAAGGAGTTCTTAGAAGAAATAATAATCCATTCTAAAAGAAATGCATTAAATAGGATTTCATCAAAATGAAAAATGTTTGTACTATGAAAGACCTACAGAAAATATTTGCAAGCCACATATCCAACAAGTCCATTTTATAACGGACAAAAGACAGAACAGGTATTTCACTAAAGAAGGATATACATATAGCACATAAGCACATAAATAGTCATCCAACATTATTAGCCATTAGGGAAGCAGAAACTAAATGTCACTACACAAGATATCACAATAAGATATCACTATAAACCTACTGAAACAGATAAAAAATAGAAATAATAGCAAATGCTGGTGATGATTCAGAAAAAAAAATGTATCTCACACAGTGATGTTAAGAATGTAAATGGTACAGGGGCACCTGGGTGGCTCAGTCGGTTAAGTGTCCGACTTTGGCTCAGGTCATGATCTCATGGTCCGTGAGTTCGAGCCCCGCGTCAGGCTCTGTGCTGACAGCTCCGAGCCTGGAGCCTGTTTCAGATTCTGTGTCTCCCTCTCTCTCTGACCCTCCCCCATTCATGCTCTGTCTCTCTCTGTCTCAAAAATAAATAAAACATTTAAAAAAATTAAAAAAAAAAAAGAATGTAAATGGTACAGCCTCTCCAGAAAATTAGTGGCAATATCTTTTTAAATTAAAAATGTGCCTACCCCATGAACCTGAAATTGCAACCTTTGGGTACTTATCCCGGAGAAATGAAAATTATGTTCACACAAAAAATATACATACAAATACCCACAGCTGCCTTATTTATAACAGAGAAATACTGGAAACAACCCAAGTATCCTTCCATGGGTTAATAAATGAAGAAACTTTGGCACATCATACAATGGAGTACTACTCAGCCTTAAAAAGGAATGAAATTGATACATGGAGTGGGGGGGGGGGCACATGGGTGGCTCAGTCGGTTAAGCATCTGACTTCCAATTCAAGAAATTGGAACACAAACTTTAAGATTGTGTTCCTGTAGGGATGCCTGGGTGTTTCAGTTGGTTAAGCATCTGACTGGCTCAGGTCATGATCTCACGGTTTGTGAATTCAAGTCCTGCATCAGGGTCTGTGCTAACACCTCAGAGCCTGAAGCCTGCTTCACATTCCGTGTCTCCCTCTCTCTCTGCCCCTCCCCTGTTCATGCTCTGTCTCTCTCTCTCTCTCAAAAATAAGTAAACATTAAAAAAAAATTTTTTTTAATAAAAAAGAAATTGATACATGGAATAATTTAAATTTCAAATGGATTATGGTTGGTACAAAAAAGCAAATCTCAAAATGTTATATGATGCATGATTCCATTTATTTCTTGAAATGGCAAAACTATAGAAATAGAGAGATTAGTGGTCACCAGGGGAGACAAAGGCAACCACTTGGGGGGTGGGGTGTGGGGGAGTGTGAATACAAAAAGGTAGCACCAGCGTTCTTTTATGGTAATGTTCACAATTTTGTATCTTAACTGTGGTGGCAGTTACATAAACCTATTCGTGGGCTATAACTGCACAGAGGTATGTGTGTGTGTACATTAGCAGTAATGTACCAACATTAGTTTCCTGGTTTTGATACTCTACTACAGCTACCAG